CCTCACTAGGGCAGAGTAGAGGGGAAGGAGAACCTCCCTCGACCTGCTGGCCACACTCTTCTTGATGCACCCCAGGATCCCATTAGCTTTCTTGGCAGCCAGGGCACACTGCTGGCTCATGGTCAACCTGCTGTCCACCAGCACACCCAGATCCCTCTCTGCAGAGCTGTTCTCCAGCAGGTCCGCCCCAAGCCTGTACTGGTGCATGGGGTTCTAGCTTGATTTTTTTTGACGTTTTCTAGGTAAAGAAACACGTAGAGCGCAGTGCAGTTCTCTGGGGACAGGCACTGCGCCCCTGAAGCTAAGCTCGGGCTACGGTTTGGTTGGGCTGTGCCTCAAGGGGGGCCTTTTCTGACGAGGTCGCCTTCCCTGCGCTCTCCCCTCACAGGTACATCAACCATTCGTGCGCGCCCAACTGCGTGGCCGAGGTGGTGACTTTTGAGAGAGGACACAAGATCATCATCAGCTCCAGCAGGAGAATCCAGAAGGGGGAGGAGGTAGGTAGGGCGTCTCGCTGGCGCTGCCCCCGGGACTGGGGGGGCATTTCCCTCCCCTTGTCCCTCCCGGATCGTGCCCGTTCCCGACAGTTCCCAGGTACGAGGAAAGCTGCAGCAGATCCCGGTTGTTCCGTAACCGTTCTCCTGCTTCTCCTTCCAGCTTTGCTATGACTACAAGTTTGATTTTGAAGATGACCAGCACAAGATTCCATGTCACTGTGGAGCCGTAAACTGCCGAAAGTGGATGAACTAGAATGCATTCCTTGCTGTCTCTGAGGGCTGCTTGTCCCTAGGAAGAAGTGATTCGCGTTTTGATTTTGTCGATGGAAAATTGTTGCCTTTTTTTTGATGGGGGAAAGAAAGAAAGAACGAAAAAAAAAAATCACTTCTGGAAGTACAGATTTCTACTCAAGTATTGAAAAAGAAAAAAAATGAAAAAAAAGCCCACAACCACCCACAAACCCAAGCGCCAGAAGCAAGCCGGCAAAATCTGCAGCTGACTTCCCAGCCAGGCGGAGGTTCAACGGAGCGAACGGAATGGTCCAGCACTTTTGTTTTGGAGCTGACTAAGGAGAAACTGTGTAACTGGGGCAAAGAACCGACGGCCGACCTGCGGGCGGGCAGGTGGGCGCCTATGAATGTAAGACTGAGATCACCAGCGAAAGGGAGAAGTCCAAAGTGCTGGCCACAGCCTTATTTGATAAAGGGGCAGGCCCTCTAATTAAAGAAAAATTTTAAATAAAAGTAGACACCACTGAACAAGGAATGTACTGAAACGACTTCCTTAGGGATAGAGCTAAGGGAAAAAATAACTTGCACTAAAATACATTTAAATACTTGATTCCATGAGTCAGTTTATTGTAGTTTTTGATTTCTGTAAAATAAGAGAACCTTTTTGTATTTATTATTGAATAAGTGAATGAAGCTATTTTTAAAAAGAAAGTTAGAAGAAAGCCAAGCTGCTGCTGTTACCTGCAGAACTAACAAACTCTGTTACTTTGTACAAAAGTGTAAATATTTTGAGAAAAAAAAAAAAACACACACCGTATAAAAATAGTTCTTGACCAAATGCTCCCAGGCTCTGCCGCAGCTGGGGTGCTCTGCTAAACTGCCAGTGGGGATGTCACAATATGATCGAACGCCGGCCCGCGCAGCCGCGGGGGCCCGCCGCCCGGGGCACCACAAAAAAAAGGGCGCCCGCCGCCGGAGTCACCACAACCTCAGCGGAGCCAGCGCGGGGGGTTTTACGCTGAAAGCAGTCGCGACTGTGGTCTTACGAGTGAGTTTTTTAAGGAAACCTTAAGCCCGGTGAGGGCGTGCGTGGTACAGCTCTGACTTCTGTAGGTGTCTGGGGAACTTGGATGAATTCTGTTTGTATTATATTGTTGCATCCCTATTTCTTAAGTCAGGTTTTTTTGTGCTTACAATTTGTGATAACTGTGAATAACTGCTAAAACCACCCAAAATAGAGGCCGAACGTCATTTTTTTATCTTCAGCAAAAGTAGTCGAGATTAGGTGAGCGTTCAGCCTGCGTTAAATCACGTAAAGGGCGTAGAATCCCGTAGTTGGAGCTTCAGTCTGAGCGATAGCCTTCTGAAAAGGAAAATGAGGAGAAAAAAAAAATTAGATGTGACGTGCTTGCAGCTGCAGGACTCTGGCAATAGGGGTTTGGAAAATGTAATTTAAAGACGTGTTTGTATGGATTGGTTTTGTTTACATTTCTTTAAAAAAAATAAACACTGTTTTGTGTTTGCTTGTAGAAATTTAATCAGCATTTTAAAACAGGTTAGTTTTTTATTTTGTACTTAAAATTCTGGTACTGACCCTTCACAGGCTAAATATTAAAAAAAAAAAAATGAAGTTTTTTTTTTTGTGTGCACAATTAAAGTGGACTGTAAACTGTTGGTATATTCAGTAATACAGTTCTGAACTTGTAATGTATATGGCATGATGTATTTTTATCTTACAGAATAAATCAATTGTATATATTTTTCTCTTGATAAATAGCTGTATGAAATTGTTTCTTGAATATTTTTCTTCTCTTGTACAATATTCCAACATCCTTACCAGTATTTGTCCTACAGTTTTTTCTGTTCTGTATAATAGCATCTAATGTTGGCAAAAAAAATACAAAAACCACACAAAAAAAAGAATTTTTTGAAGTATACAGAGTGTTATGGGTTTTGGAATTTGTGGAAACAGATTTAGAAGATCAGCATTTACAAATAAAAATATTTTACATCTATAACTCGCATCCTCCTGTTTTCAGCGGGAGGGCCCGTTTCCTCCTCCTTCTGGGGTTTCCGAGGAGCATTTCCCTCCCCTCCTGCCCGGGCAGCCTGAGCGTGGGAGCGGGGCCAGGCCCGAGCCCCTCGCCGCTGGCCACACGAGGGAAGGGAGCCGCAACGCAAAGCTGCCCCAGCCACGGTCACTACCAGCTCCAGGAGGCAGCAAGAAGGAAATGTTGTGACACAGAGGCTTAAAAATTCATCCTGGGCGCGGTTTCTTTACAAATAATAAATTTCTCAGGATGACAACGGCAAACGGAGTGCTGCAACAGCTCAGAGCCTGGACAACGCTTCTCCTTCCTGCTCCTCAGCGTCGTTCCCAGCTGTGAGCAGTCACAACAGCAGCAAGAAACCGGAACTGCCTCCTCAGGACCGCGAGCTCGCCGCGGGCCGAGCCGAGAATGATCACCTTCTCCTGGCGTGTTCGGCTTCTGCGGGTGGCGGCCT